AAAAAAAAAACAAAACAGTTGCCATTGAATCAATTCCAACTTATGGCGACCCTATAGGACAGAGCAGAACTTCCCCATAGGGTCTCCAAGGAACAGCTGGTGGATTCGAACTGCCAACCTTTTGGTTAGCAGCTGACTCTTAACCACTGCACCACCAGGGATCTCAATAAATACTTGTTGAATGAGTAAATCCTTAGTAATAATGCATTTTGGAAGATGCCATGATAAAGGCAAACACAGGATAACATGGGAGGAAAGAAGAGATTACTTGGACATGGGACAGTCATGGAGAAGGGAAAGGCAGAACGCCCATCTAGCAAATAGTCTCAGGTGGAGGAGATGAGCAAGGGCCCATGGCCAAGCCTGCGGTCAGATCCAAGGACGGGCCACACTGGGAGCTGGGTACAGATGACCCCAAGCAGGGAGACCTGTGAGGACAGAAGTTCTTGTGCCATCCAAGCGACCTGAGCTAGGGCAGAGGTGGAAGGAATGGACAGGAAGAAACGCATCTGAGAACTAGTCAGGATGCAAGGTCAGCACAAGCTGGTGGTCAGATGCAGCAGGGTCAGATGCAGGGACAAGGAGGCGTGGGATGGAGAGGGAGGGCCGGGAAATCTGCACACACAGACTTCAAGATGGCAGATGGACAGACCCTTGTCTGCTAGATCTTCTACCAGATTTGTCTTTCTGAAGAAAATGCCATCATTAAAATCACGAAGGAGCTTTAGTCTGGGCCATAACCGAGACGTGGACAGTTTTACCATATATGTTCAACTGGAGATGATCATATGTTTCTGTACAGTAGAGTCTAATGGATGATTGGGCTTGGAAAGGAGAATGGATGTGTAAACTGTTCTGGAGAACATTCTTAAGCACTTTAATCATATCTCTGTGAATAAATTATAAGTATGTGAATTATCAAATGATCTAACCATTAAAGCACAATTTAGGACTTCTGTGGAAACAATGTGTCAGTCTGAACTGGTACACGCATTTGAAAGCAAAAATCAGCTTATTTGTAAACATTGTATAACTGAGGGTTTTCACTAATTCAAACAGCACCCTCTCCCCCACAGGAATGTAAGGCTTTCCATGAGAACACTGACACCCAGGTGCTTTCTCCTGCCCTGTGGCTCGGGCCCTTGGAATCTGCCCGCCTTGTTTACCTCTAGCCCCGGTGCCTGACACAGCACCCACCATGGAGCAGGCCCACAATGAGTACTTGTTGAGTGAGTGCTTGAGGGAGTATGAAGGACAGACAGCGTGGAGCCTGGACTTCAGCCCCTGCCTGATAAAGAAATATATGGAAATTAAATAATATGAAAGAACAAACCACCGGTAAGCACACAGAAGAAACACAAGCAGGTGGAAGCCTTTGACCTTCGGGCCCGAGGCCTGACAAGCCTGTACCACAGCATCCCCAGAAGAGTTCCTTGGGGTGAAGGTTTGCTGCTACATGACACCCTCAGTCACACCCCCACACAGCCAGGACCACACCAGATCCAGACAGCCGAAAAGCAACTCAGAGAATCCAGTCCACTTTCCAAAAAAGGGTCACAGCCAAGAAGTTCTGAGTTTGGGTGTGGCAGGCAGTGACTTGTCACCGCCAGTTAATCCTCCTCCTCCTCCCTGTTGGATGGAAGGGTTCACTTTAGTCACCTTGGAGAGGAGAGCTGTGGTCAAACGCTTCCTGACCCACTATCAGAATCCAGTTCTCACACCGTGGAAATTTTTGGCCCTTGGCCAAGTAATTCCAAGGAGGGAGGGAAAAAAAGGTATTTTGGGAGCAAAGTCTAAAAATAATGAGTATGTGGCCAATAGGTAATCGTTAACCTACCAAGAAGCTTTTTAACTGATGCTCAGTTCTTCATTCTACAGCTGTGAACCACCTCTTCCATCTGGTTCTCTATGACTCCAAAAGAAGGAAGTAAAAAAACGTTGCCACCACTGAAATGAGAATAATGCCTTCTAATAGGAGTCCCTGAGTGGCACAAATGGTTTGGCACTTGGCTGCTAACAAAAAGGTTGGAGGTTCGAGCCCACCCAGTGGACCCTGGGGAAAAAAGGTCTGGTAACCTGCTTCTGAGAAACTAGCCACTGAAAACCCTATGGAGCACAGTTCTCCTGTGACACACATGGGGTCACCATGAGTCAGAATTGACTTGATGGCAATTGGTTTGTTTGTTTGTTTTTAAATGTCTTCTAGTATTTGGATAGCCCTGAGTTTCATCCCCATTATCCCTCAGTACCACTGAAGAATTTGCAGTTAAACCCTTGATCTCCAAAGTTCTTTCTAGGGCACGTGGATGAAGAGGAGGGAGAGGACAGACTGCTATTTCATACACTTTTCTTTCCAAGGGGAAGTACTTACCATGGCCAGATCTATGATCCACTTCTGCAGCGTGAGGATGAACCAAGAAGACAAAAATCTTATCATGTGTTAAGGGAGATCACAGTCCAGCTGCTGCCAGCCCCACCACCCTTCCGACCCCAAGCTCAAAGTCTTCCCATCTCATGGAGACAAACCAAGACCACAGAGACATGAACCAAATGTGTAACTGGGAAAGATTCTACTAGAACATGTCTTATTGGGAAAAGACAAAAACGTTGGTTTCAAGTGAACGTTTGCTTAAAGTTCAAAAGAACAGATTATTGAAGAAAAATACCAATAAATCTGTGTTCATGGATCATTCCCTAGTGTTGGGAATATCCCAAACTGCTTTAACTGCCCCCTTAATTCCTGACCATGCAGATATTTCCAATTTAATGTCAAAAGTTAAGCACTTCAAAGAGAGGTCCAACATTATGGAGCAGGAATGTTCTAAAAAATTGGTTAAACTGAAATTCTTTTACTGATTTCTCCCCTTCCCTACTAACTCCATTGTAAAAATGATACAGCTGGGGTGGGCAATGCTGGGAGATGGGAGGAACCATGTTGGATTTTCATTTTGGAATTTTCAACCTCTGAACTAATATCTTGACTACCCATTGCCGTCGAGTCAATTCTGGCTCATAGCGACCATATAGGACAGAGCAGAACTGCCCCACAGAGTTTCCAAGGAGCGCCCGGTGGAATCGAACTGCTGCCCCCTTGGTTAGCAGCTGTGACACTTAACCACTGTGCCACCAGGGTTTCCTGACTAGGAGCCTGATTTTCACTTTTGAACAAGCCACCATGAACCCAGACCCACTAACAAGTAGTAAGCCAGCTAGTTCACCAGGTGGGTTAGCGGCATTGTGTTAAATTGCCAGTTGTTAGATATTGCCATTATTATTACTTCAAATATTTTGGGGGAAGGAAAAAAATGTCACAAATAAACAAAGTTGGACATTGTCACTTTCAGCAGAGGGCGCTTCTATAGCTGAGCATGTTGAGCAGTGAGACGCTAAGTCTGCATTCACTTCCCCTGTTAGCAAATTCTAGCTCTGGTGAGGGAGGAGGCTGAAGACTCCAGGACCCCGCCCATCTCAGAAGGAAAGGCCCGTGCTTCCTGCCTTCCCAATTCCCACCTAGTCCAGCACCTTCCAGGGAGAGGAGCAACCTGGTCCCGGAGGGGAGGCTGCCAGGGAGGAATTGTACTGAGAGCATCTGTGGTCTGGATAGACACATTTTTGCTTACATAGTATCTTGCATTGGGGCTTCTTTTGTAGTTTAACCAAAAAATATACATCTAAAGGACGCTGCTTGGTAACGCCACTGTTCAATAACACACCCTAATCACATTTCTGATTCTCAGATCCTGAAAGGATACACAGCCATGTACGGAGCAGCCTGCTTCACATTGCCATTGAAATGGAAGACACAGAGTAGGAGGATGATATCTGCAAGAGCATGTCTCCGCGTGAGGGGGAGGAAGGGGAGACACGGGGGCAGGCGTGCTGGGCCCGAAGGGGTGATTACCTTGTGCTATGAGAATGGGGTACTCCAGGTAGGTCAGCAGCGGGTAACCATAGTAATGCTGGTACCTGAGGAACACCAGGAACCTGGGGAAGAGAAAGGCACACGTTAACACATACTGACCCAGTACACAGCAGTCAAGGCCCAGCCAGGCACCCAACGATACAGGTCTGTTTGCAAAATCCTAGAACGGGTGGTGGGAGTCTGGAAGTGTTAAGAAGAAAGTTTTAGATCAAAAAAGATAGAATATTAATTTAATAATCTCCATGAGCTTTTGAGCACCCAGCACCTGCTAGGCCTGTGCAAGGAATATAATATACATTATCACCAAATCACTAAGAAAGGACATCCTGTTTGGTAAAGTAGAGGACCAATGAAAATGAGGGAAACCCTGCATGAGACGGACTGACATAACAGCCCTGACGATGGGCTTAAACACACCAATGATCATGAAGATGACGCAGGACCGGGCAACGTTTCATTCTGTTATACGTGAGGTCACCATGAGTTGAAGCCAACTTGATGGCAACTAATGATAATATTGTCAGCTCTCTTAATATAACCATTTACAAATAATTTTTACAGAGGTCAAATCCCATGACCAGGATTACAAGTGACCATGGCTTTGGACCCTGATCTGTCTCCAAAGTTGGGGTCCTGCCCTGAGCCGCTGCCTCTCAGAAAGATGTACACACTCCCTGGTCACCCTGAGCAGCTGCAGAGGTCAAGAGAGATCCCAGGGGGGCCGAGAACCACCCTGAATAGCTCTGGTGAGATGTGGCGGTGTGGGAGGTGGAGGAGGGCCCTGCAGACTCCAGGACCCATGTGTCTCGGGAGAAAAGGCCCATGCTTCCTGCCTTCCCAACTACCATCCCAGCCAAGTCACCTCCCACAGACCCTGTGCCTACGTCCCCCTGCTGTGTCTCGGGGTGTCTGTCTCTGTCTGCCAGCTGTGTGGGTCCCTCACCCATGTGTTTGGGCAACAAGGGACAGGAAGGAAGGGGAGCCCCCAGCTCTGGGACTTCAACCCATGCTGGGTGGGTCCCTTGCTTATCCCGGGGTAATTCTGAGCCCTTCATCCATTATTTGGATTTAACCAGCTGTGACTTTCTCAGGGGAACGTTCAGTGGAAAACATGCTTTAACAAAGCAGGCAACAGGCTGGGTCAGATTGTGCCTCGTCAGATCGTGTTTCTGTCAAAGGTGTACCATTTTTGGTTTAGCTGGGGTGGAGCAGAAGGATCGGGTCACAGGCCAGGAGGCAGGAGCATGGAGTGGGGCTCTGCTCCCAGCAGTGCTGAGCAGCACAAGCTTCCCCCAGGCCTGGACTCACCCCCATTCCTTGGCCTCTCCAGGCCTCACCTGGTCAGCCCCGTTCCCAAGGAACCTCACCACTGCACCGTCAGCTGCAGAGAAATCCAACACTTTCCCCAAGGCCAGCTCTCTGGGGGCTGTGTAGTTGGCCATCTCCCCAGCTTCAGATGACAAGCAAGCGTTTCTCCCCAGCACCTGCTCTGCTGTAAAGCCTCTCTTCCTGCCCTGCCTCCTGAGCAGGACCTTTCTGTTCAGTTGCCAGTGAGTGCCCTGGGGGCTGGGGTGGGAGGGTAGGCATGGTGCATCCCACCCACTTCTGCTGAATAAGCAGAAAGAATGAGTGGGAGGACTTTGAGAGATGCAAATGTGACCTTATTTGGAAATTGGATCTTTGCAGATATAATTTATTAAGATGAGGTAATGCTGGATGAGGGTGGGGCCTGAATCCAGTAGCTGGTGTCCTTACAAGAAGAGAAGAGCGCATGGACACACAGGGAGACACCATGTGAAGACAGAGGCGGAGGAACGCCAAGGATTGCCGGGAGCCACAAGAAGCTAGGGGAGGGGCATGGAATAGATTCTCCCTCAGACCTCCAGAAGGAACCAACCTTGCTGACACCTTCATTCAAACTTCTGTCCTCCTGAACTATGAGAGAAGAAATTTCTGTTGTTTTACGCATACATCCCATGATATAGCCAGAGATCTTCAGGACAGGAATGAGTACCTCGGGAGTGTCAGAGCTGTGGTTACCTCCAGTCATCTGTGCTGGTCTTCACATTTTACAGGCCACATGGGGCCACTGAGGCCCAAAGAAGCCAAGGTTATATAAGAACTCAGGGACAAACCAAAGACCAGAGCATGGAGTTCCTAAAACCCAACCTGGGCACTTCCCATCACCCCTTCCAGAGGCTGTCTACTCCCAAGGGGGCTCTTTGGTGCACTTGCTATGCTTTTGGTGGAACCCAGACTTTCAAAAGTAACCATCCCTTGCTCCTGGGGAGTATGGGGATAGTAACTTTGTTTTTCTTTTTCTTTTTTTTTTTTTTTTGTTGTTGTTTCTTTAATCAAACCGTTGTACATTAAAATGCCTATTATAATAAAATCAGGACACAGTCATCTGACACCCAGCCCCACTAGCTCATTTATATCCCTTGCCTCCTCTGAGGAGTCATTTGAGTTTTCTACTTCAGCATATATGCCAGAAGTTTAAAACACACACACACACACACACACACACAGGCACAGAGAAGTTAAGTGGCCTGCACTAGTTGCCTACGCTGCTGTAACAAAGGACTACAAACTCAATGGCTTAAAACAACAGAAATGTATTCTCTCATAGTTCTGGAGGCTAGAAGTCCAAAGTCAAGGTGTCAGCAGGGCCATGCTCTCTCTGAAGGCTCTAGAGAAGATCCTTCCTAGCCTCTTGCAGCTTCTGGTGGTTCCTGGCCCTCCTTGACTTTAGGTACATCACTCCAATCTCTGCTCCACTGTCGTATGGCCATCTTCCCTCTCTGTCTCTTCTCTTCTTCTAAGGACACCACTCACACTGGATTAGGACCCAGTATGACCTCATGTTGGAGCCCTGGTGGGGCAGTGGTTAAGAGCTCGGCTGCTAACCCAAAGGCCTGCAGTTTGAATCCACCAGCCATTCCTTGGAAACCATATGGGGCAGTTCTACTCTGTCCTACAGAGTTGCTATGAGTCATAATTGACTCGATGGCAACAGGTTTGGTTTTGGGTTTTTTTTATGACCTCATGTTAACTGATAACATCTTCAGAGACCCTATTTCCAAACAAGTGGTTAGAACTTTAACATATCTTTTTAGGGGACACAAGTCAACCCATAACATAACCTGAGTGGAACTTGAACTGAAGACTTTTTCAAAGGAATCTCACCCAGAGGCCAATGGGCGTGCGATAGCCTAACAGTCAGCCTGCTCTGCTGGGGGTGGGAAGAGGGTCTGACCCACTCAGCCTGCCCCACAAATGTGCTGAGTTAAAGGCAGGACTGAAGGAGAGGTGACGGGGTGCAGGAAGGGGTAGCACACCTGCCACAGAATTCCCACCTCAACACCTCTCCCAATTCACAGCCCACTCTCGCCCACCCAGGAACCTGTCCAGGACACGTGGTAAAAGACCTGTGGGGTAAGCGTAAGAAATGATAGCAGCAACAGGTAGGGAGCACCAGCCACTGCCCTGCCTGGGGGCCTAACCACACAGCGGACACCTGCTTCCTGATGCCACATCCGGTCCCACCTCCTCCCATGCAGCATCACTTCCTGGGGCCTCCCCGGCCAATCCTTCCTCCACAACACAGCCTGCCCGAGTCACCTTCCTGAGACACGTGTTTGCTCCTGCCCTGGCAGGCACTAAGGCCTGCGGGGCTCTGTGATAAAGGCAGGCCTAGAGTGTGGCGCTCCTGAGTGTTGCACAGTGGTTAAGGACTCAGACTCTGGAGTTCGACTGCCTGGGTTCATAATCCTGCTCATCAGTTACTTAACTAACCTCTCAGTGCTTTGCTTTCCCCATCTGTAAAACGGGGAGAACAACAGTCCCTACCTCATGTGACTGTTGAGCCTGCACATGGTGGCTGATTTGAAAGAGTTAGCTACTATCATCTCTTTAGCTTCTTCTTTTTTTTTTTTTTTTTTTGGCTTGAACACAGTCCTCCAGTCATGCTGCTCCTAGTTTCAACCTCCAGGTTTTTGCTCGGGGAGCCCCTTCTGCCTGGAATATCCTTTTCTCCACATACTCACCTCCTATTCCTTAGTAAAGACTCAGCTAGGGGATCTCCCCTCCCTGGGTTCAGATCAGGGCCTCCCTGGACCCCTCTATCAGGGAACGTCTCCTCTTAGGTAAGTGTCTGTTCTCCCCACTGGGCCGGTGATTTTGAAGACAGGATGTGTCACCCCATGGATGCAAGAAAGAAGGAGTAAGGATGGGCCTTTTTATCATTGTGAGAACTTTCAAACATACACACAAAGCTGAGAAAATAGTGTAATAAACCCCACCCCCAGTTTTAACAACTAGCATTTTGTGACATCTTCTTCATTGATTCCCTTTCCTTTCCTTTGCTGAAATCTTTGAAAGTACACCCCGGACACATCACTTCACCTGCCCGCTCCACGATCCAGCCATAAAATGCCACTGTCACACGAAACCAAGTTAAAAATCATCCCCTGGGGTCTTTAAGACACAGTCCAAACTCACATTTACCCAGTTCTCTCAAAAGTGGGTTTTTAGAGTTAGTTTGCTCAAATCAGGATCCAAAGAAGGTCACGTACTACATGTGTCCTAGGTTACTCTGAGGAAATGGCAGGGCCCTCTGACAGGTCACTGTTGTTTGATGGTAAATACCCTCAGGGTTCCTTCTGCTCTAATTCTGGCTGCCCCGCCTGGCCTCTGATCAGGGGCCTGCAGGCACAGCCCACTAGGAACAGTCAGGCCTGCACTATGCCCACGCCTGGCCCCCATCCCCCCACAGCACCCAGTCCCAGCTGCCCATCACCTGGGAAGGTGGGAAGGGGAGTCAGGGAGGGGGCGGGTGCTGACCAGTCCTTTTTCTCTACCCACAATATTGTAGACGAGATCAGAAGACAGCAAGACCCAGTGATTGGGGAAGGGGCGGGGGGCGGGAATCAGAGTGGAGAAAACAAGGATCCCACTGAGCCCACAGCCCTGCTACTGCCGGTGAGCTTGGGCAAGGTACTTGGCCTCCCTGGGTGGGAGGATTAGAAAGATAATGCATATAATGCATGGTGTCTAACACAAAGAAAGTGCTCTAAAAAATTGCTGCCTGAGGTACAGATAAAATGCTGTTCAGTGGGAGGAGCCTCTGATCACTTCCAGCTGGGCTTCCTGGAGAGGCTGGCATTGGAGCTGGGCCTTGATACAGCCGAACCCATTTACAGAAGTCTGTCCCTGACCTTGGCACTCCTAGCCGACCCTGGAGCAAAGCCTGAGAGGCAGGCCCAGCCTAGCATACACCTGCTCTTCCCTGCAAGTGAGCAGCTGCAAGACCCTGAGACAGGCTCCCTGCAATGGCAATTACTTTGAAAGCTTCCCACCCACCAACCCACCCTCAGTCTTTCCGGGTCAGGGGAAATGCTTTTTTTTTGCTAAGGTTAGCTGTTAGATAGTGACAATGGATTTAAGATGAGCCCTCATTCCTTTGTCCCCTCTGGGTTTGCATTTTTTAAGTAATGGAGCAAAAATGGTGGGAATGGAGGCAGTGGAGCTGATAGGGGAGTTGGGATGGTACACCACAGCAGGTCCCTAGACTACAGGCATCTGCTGTTCTCCTGACGCTGCAGTCAGCCTCATCTTTCCCAGCTCAAGGACCTATCAACAACTGAGGCCACCCCCTCTCCCTGGATTTCCATACCCTCGGGGACACACCCCCAGCCGACTCTCATCCCCCACCCCCAGCAATCATTGGGTCTCCTCCAGCCAGTTTCCTTTGCCTCGCCCCCTAATCCCTCTCTCCCGCCCAACCTAAGGGCTGCCCCAATCTGAAATAAACTGCTGTTTCCCCCTCCCGGGACTAGCAGCCTCTTTCTACTCTCCCATCCCCGCCATGCTCCCGGGGCCCGCCAGCGTAGGGTCATTTACAAACCCGTGAGGATTAGTACCTTCTTGTCTGCCGGGCCTTTCCAGAAAGACTCAGCTCAAAGCCTCTCGGATGGACGCAGCCAGGGCGCGCCACGCAGGGCCGGGTGCGTGGCTCCAGCGCCTGGGCGCCGCCCCTCATCCTTCTGCCCATCCTACGGGACTCAGCCCAGGACCCTTCACCCCTTCCACACCCCAGGTCTCCTCTTTCTCCACCTTTCTTGGCTTCTTTCTCTCCCGGGATCCCTGGGTCAAGTCAACCGGGCTAACCCTTACGGGGAGAGCTTCGGTTGAGGACCAGCCCTCGGAGCCCCCTGGGGTGGTAACTGGCGGGCCTGGGCTGCCGAGGAGCAAAGGGAGGAGGACCAGGACTTGCCAGCGCAAGCGGCCAGAGTGCTGTATTTCATGTACTGTGTTATCCAACTAATTCGAGTCTTTCCAACCAAAAGTTAGGCCACCCACTCCGAGTTTCTGGTAACTCACTCCTTGAGCACTGTCAGCTCCCCGCTACCCGTCCAACCCCTGCCCACCTTTCAAGAGTCGATTCATGTCCCCCTCCTCGCCCTCCAAAGATCTCTCCATTCTCTGAATCCAAAGGAACATGTAACTGTTTAAAGCCAGAAGGTCCTTAGAGATCATAGTTCAAACTCATTGTACAGGTGAGAAGCAGAGGCCCGAGGGGATGATGGATATGGGAGATCCTGGAACTGCAAATACTAATTACCCGCTGGTGTTGTCACTGACGGGCCAGTGATGACTTCCCCAGATCTCCGAGCCGTCGATTGTAAAATGGGCATGCTCACTCAGTTAATACCATACAAGGCTTGGTGAGCTTCAAATCACGAGTGGGGAACTGTCCTGAGAAGTGCTACCTGCAGCCCCAAGGCGCGTTCCCGTCGCTTACCGAGTCAACCCTTAGTAGCTGCCCAGCTTCCAAGCAGGCGCTCAAGACTTTGCTCCCGGCCCCTTCCTTATCAGACCCCGAAGCTCTCCCGGCCTCCCAGCACCTTCCTGGCCGAGAGGCGAGGGAGGAAGGGCAGCTGCTCGGCCGCCCGGGCCTTACCCGGCCAGCTCCAGAAGTAGACTCGGGAGGCTGATGCCCCGCGCGCTGCGCGCCGCCAGCACGGCCGAGATCTGCGGCAGCTTGAGCGCGGCGCACACGCCCAGCGTGCTCCAGTTGCAGAACGACAGCAGCGCCGTCTCCATGGCGCCGGCGGGCTGCGGACACGCGGGGGGCTCGGCCGCTGGGGGCAGGGGAGCCGCGCCGCCCTGAGCCACAGGGCTCCACCGAGTCCTTCCGCCTTCCCCGGCCGCCCGCCCCTACCCGGCCCCGGTTCCGGCCCGGGCCCGCCCTACCCGGCCACCGCTTCCCGCTCAGCCCCGGCACCGGCCCGCCCCACCCCGGGCCCGCCTTCCCCGGCCGCCCGCCCCCGGCTCGCCCCGCCCGGGCGCAGCCCGCTGCTGATTCACTTTTCCCTGATCCATCGACCGGTGGCGTTAGGAGCCACCCAGTCTGTCCCGCGCACCTGGGGAGGGCAAACGGGCACCCTTCTGGAGGGATGGACTATTTTGTTGGGAGTTTCCGCTCCCGAAACGTGTAGGGGTTTTTCGTTCGTTTCTCTCAGCAAGTATTTCTTTCGTTACTATTGGACTAACGGTATACCAGCCACTTTTTATGCCTCTGCACCTCAGAGGTAAGGGTTATTCTGGTTTCAATGCATTGAGCGTCCAGTCGGGTTCCTTTTGAAATGCGTGAAGCTCAGCAGACCTGAGCTGGAGCCTCCTTGTTGTGTAGGTTGAGCATTCTATTAGGTGATGCTTCCTGGATGTGTTAGTTTTGTAAACCTTTACCTTTTTTCCCTTTACTTCTGTGAGATAAGGCTTGCAAGCATGTTTATGGCTTCCCTGTGTGATAGTTAGGGAGCCCTGATGGGTTTGTTTTGATTTTTCTGTGTCATATTTGGAAGACCAGAGGTGCCCCATGTAACCTAATGGAAAGGTGCCGGCAATAAATTATCACCAATCGGTGGCTCCACAGTGCCACTCACCTCACTGGTGGCTTGTATTACCAGATCATAGTTCTCAAAATCCATATTACCAACCCAAAATTTAAACACACTTGGTTGATAAGCATGCCCAGAACTACCCCGTTTCTGCCATGCCCAGAAAAGCCACCAACTCAGGAGGCTGCCACCACCCTGCTGAGTGCTCTCAAAGCTAGGGACTAACCTGACACCTGCGCCTTGGCTCCAGCTGCCATCTGCACCACTGTGCTTCCAAAAGGGCCCCAAGGTTGCCCATTCAAAACGCTGACTTCTACATTTGGAGTCCCCTTGGCAGGAGCTCGGTCATACAAGGAAGCCTGAGCTGCAAGCGAGTCTGTCACACCCAGCCTCCTTGTCAGCGGACTGTCCAGGCCTGCAGCTTCCCAGCAGCCAGGCCCTTAGCATGTGACACAGTGACCACAGGGCAGAGCCCCAGGATTTGGGGTGTTTTGGACAGAAGACAAAGGAGCCCTGGTGGTGCAGAGATTAAGAGCGTGGCTGCTAACCAAAAGATTGGTAGTTCGAATCTACCAGGCGCTCCTTGGAAACCCTATGGGGCAGTTCTACTCTGTTCTATAGGGTCGCTATGAGTCAGAAGTGACTCGATGGCAACTAGTTTCATTTTGGGTTTTTGGACAGAAGGCAACCGTTTCTGTTCGCTATTCTTTACTGGATGCTAAGGTGTGGCAGAAAACATGGAGGACAAATAAACTGTCGGAGCTCTGATAGGTGTAGTGTTAAAGCTGAAGGTCAGGACACCAATGCACAGCAGGGCCAGTGGGAGTTTTGTCTGAAGACCCTGCTGGCTCAGCTCTGGTTTCCCATCTCACTTCCCTCAGAGCTGCTAAGGGCTCTGTACTCAGATCTGACTCAGGGCTTCCCAGTGCTCAGGAGCCAGGTGGAAACAAAGATGCAGGGATGGAGAGGTTCAGGGACACCGGGATGGGCATGAGGGGCTGTCTGAGCTGCAGGGCTGAGGGCTGGCACTGAGGACCGAGGATGCAAGAAGTCTGGCCAAGGGCAGAGAGCTGGCAAACCTGCCAAGGAACAGCCAGCCAGCAGTGTGGCTGTCTCTGTGGGGCCACTACTCTGTCTCCTCTACCCCTGCCTCTTACCAACCCAAAAGGGGGATTTAAGGCTCTGTTGCTCTGAACACAGGGAATCCTGGGGCAGACTTGTGCTCTAAGCTCTTATTGTCATGGATCCATCAGTCCTGAGTTCTGGACTCTCTCCTGTGAGCAGCTGTGGAGGGGAGAGAGGAGAGAGCTGAGCACGCTGGCGTCGGGAAGGAGGAATGGCCAGTTCTGGTGGGGAAAGGTGCAGCAAGCGTGGTGGACGTTGGGGCATGAAGGGGGAGAGCTTCTACTCTCGCTGTGGTTTGGATTCAGTCTTAGGTACGCCACAAAAACCAAATGTGTTGCTGTTAAATCAGGTTCTGTGTGCAAAGGGAATCTCAGCAGTTGACTAAGTGTCTCTATGGCTCCAACAATCTCACTAACCCTCAGATACCGTGGTTTTGCTGGAAGCTGTCCCTGCTCTCATGCGTGCACTGGGAATCATGCTGGCCCCTGCCATGGGTAGTCTGGTGTGGAAATAAGTGGTCGATCACTGCTCTTAGGAAAAACACAACAGCAGGGAGCAAAAGAGCCGTATTACCAGTGTCAAAGGCTCATCAAGGGCTGCAGCATGACAGCTATAGTGCATCTAAGGGCTGCTGAGTGCCTCCTGTGCACGTGGCAGGCACTGTGATATGTCAGGGACTCACCGTTTGCAAAAGGAGGCTGTTTCCATCCCAAGGTTGTCTGGGTTGGAAGTTCCTGGTCCTGCCACAGGGCTGTGGCTTCTCTTCCAAGGGCTCCTCTCTCACCCTCCTCTGCCACTCCCTTGGGGTCTGTTTATTTTGGGGGGTGGTCAGTAACTGATGCCCTAGAATGATCCAGAGAGGAGACTGTGGCCCAGCCTCCCTACCGTGCTGAGACGCTCACTGCCTGGCCTGAGGGACCTTTGTGAGACCTCGCTGCTCCCCCAACCACCCAGGGAGCACCCCTGCTCTAGTGTGGATCAATCACTGACCTGGTCAGGAACAGAACTCTCTGCAGCCGCCTGCTTTGGGGGTCATCTAGGTGAGGCAGGGTTACAGGAGGAGGATTTCTACCTGGCTCCAAGCCCCACCGTGCACTGGCTGCTCTGCCTGAAGACCACAATGTGGGTGATGTGGGTGTGTGGGACTTCGATGTCTGGCGGATCTCAGCTATCCTTCCAGTATTGGCCCTTACAGGCTGCATGACTTGGGAAAACCGTTAACCTCCCTATGCCTCAGTTTTTTCATCTTTGAGATGGGGCTAATAACACCCACCTCATAAGGTTATTGCAAGGCACTCAATATGTGGTAGTTTCCTACCAGGTGCACACTAGCAAAACTTTCTTGGAATTTATGGGCTTTGGCTTGGCTCCTGAAGCAGTAGGGGTGGGTGGGTTTTGATAGGGGAGATCAGGAATGGGCCTTGCAGGAAGAGGTGCAGCTCCAGCCCCCTGCCCCAGCTGGGACACCCTCCAGCATGATCGCTCTTTCTGACCTGTTGGCTGCCTCCAAACAGCTGCTCTCCCAGGCTCCCCGGTGTCCTCAGTAGGGTGGGTGTGCCTGCATGCGGGGTTTCTACCGTGCACACCCACTGAGACGTCTCTCCAACCCAAAACGAGTGCTCCTATACTCGAGAACTCTGCCTCCTCCATCTATAGGGTTACACAGGACACAGCCTGGTACCTGAGGCTGACGCCACTCCTCCAGCCACAGCTGAATGCAGCAGAGCACTCTCTGATTGAGGCTGGGCCCAGGAATACCTTCCTGGGGAATCTGGAATTGATAACTAATGCTAATTTCATTCTGGTATTCTCTCCAACAGACAAGACATAAACTCAGCAGCTACTGGTGATAGCCATTCTCCCAATACCATTTTTTTTTTTAATTTTGAAAATTCCCAAGCCTACAGGAAAGTTGCAAGAACAGTACAACAAACACCCGTATACTCTTCACCTAAATTCATCAACTGCTAACATGTTTCCCATTTGTTTCATTGGTCCCTATCTACATACTGTACACATTTTTTCCGTTAAACTATTCACAAGTTAGCTACAGGCATCGTGACCCTGCACCCCTAAATACTGCAGCATGTACCTCCTAACAAGGGCACTCTTCTACATGACCCCACTGTAGTTGTCACACTCGGGAAATTTCACCTTGATACAATATTATCTACTATTTAGTCTATATTCATGTTTCTCCAATGGTCTCCAAAGTGTCCTTCATAGATGTTTTTCCTTTGACCCAGGGGCCAGTCAGGGACCATGCATTGCCTTGCCTTTCATCCGAAACACTTGCTTAACCCCCTTTGTCTTTTACAACATTGACGTTTTAGAAGAGTCCAGGGCAGCCATTTTGCAGAAGGCCCCCCGGTTGGGGTTTGTCATGTGTTTCTTCATGACTACGCTCAGGTCATGCATTTTTGGGGCAGGAACACCACATGGGTGATGCTATGTTATCAGCGCATCCCAGCAATTGGTATGTGATGTTAGTTTATCCTATTGCTGGTGGTGCTAAGTTTAATAACTTGGTTACGGTGGTGTATGCTAGATTTCACCCTTACTCTTCCCTAACAATCTTTAACCTCATGGTTTTACTGTGTGTCTTAGTTTCTTAGTGCTGCTGTAACAGGAATACCAGGAATGGGTGGCTTTAAAGAACACAAATGTATTTTCTCACAGTTTAGGAGCTGGAAGCCTGAATTCAGGGCACCAGCTCTAGGGGAAGGCTTTTTCTTTGTCAGCTCTAGCTTAAGATCCTAGTCTCTTTCAGCTTCTGTAGCCCCTGTGTTCCTCAGTTCCTTGGTGGTCTTCATGTGGCATCTATCACTCTTCATCTGTGCTCAATCCAGTATCTAATCTGCTCTTTTTGTAACTCAGAAGCGATTAGGCTTAGGACACATCCTACACTGATATGGCCTCATTAACATAACAAAGAAAACCTTGTTTCCAAATGGGATACATCCACAGGTTAGGATTTCAAGACACATTTTGGGAGGACATAGTTCAATCCATAACAGTGTCCTTCACTGAGTCGTGCTTAAATCAATTATTACTCTGATAGCTGTAAAATGGTCATTTTCTGTTTTTATCATTTCTTCTGTATTCTTTGATAGAGAAGAGCTTTTCCTTCCCCTACTTAAATTTTTTTTTTAATTGTCAGTATGAACTCACAAATTCCTTATTACTACAGTTATTATTCCATGGGGTGTGTGGGTACTGGTTTGCTCCTGAAGCTGGGGTAGGGAGGGGGTGAGGTGGTCATAGGTGCGGTCAGGTGCAGGCCTTTACTCTCATCCATTTTGATGCTCAAACTGTCCCGGATTTGGCCGGTGGGGCCCCTTTAAGTCGGTGCTTAAGTCCCTCTGACATCCCCCATCATGTTTTGAGCATTTCCTCACTTCCCAGCACAGTAAGACGTCTTAGGCTCACCTGTGCCTTCCCTGGTTGGTGGTCATTTTATCATGTGGGAGCAGAGAAGCTGCCTCTGCCACAGAGAGCAGACAGAGGTAGAAGTGCTCAGAGATGTCCCTGTGTCCTGATTTATACATCCCCTCTGTGTTGGGCTGGTGCTGAACCTGTGGGATTGGTGCCTGCTTGTCGGCAGCCAGGCCTGGGGGCCTCCTGGACCACCAGCCACCCTTGTTCTGGCCCAAACAAGGCATGGGGCTGGCAGCTGTTCTTTCAGTGCGGATGCCTCTCTGTCCCTATTTGCTTGGTTTCCAGTGGGTGAGGTGTGGTCAACATGGGAAGGTAAGAAGCAAGCATCCTCTCAAAGGGAGGCAGATGTGGCGGGAGGGGCTGGGGGGAAGGGGATTGGCTGGTTATGAGGAGGAGTCTCCTCAGGATGGCGCCACTCGCCACTCGCTAGGGAGCGTGCCAGACAGGCTGGTGGTCGGAGAGTGCAGACAGAGGGCCACCAAAGGGCTCTGTGCCAAGCGAGTATGCTGGCTGCTTCCTTTGAATGTTTCTTGGCTGAGTCTGCCCCACCCAGCCTTCCCCTACCCATCTCCTCTGCATTTTCCTCAAGGGTCGGCTGGTTGCCTCGGTCTGCCGGAGAACTTCCTTTTTCTGAATTCCACGGACACATCTGTCTGTGCCTAGTGAACTAGTCACAGCCAACCTTATTTTGTGACAAGGAGTTGGTGGGGTGTCTAACCAGGCTGAGAGCTCCTGAGAGGCAGGGACCCATTGGCCTGCTGTCTCTGAGCCCCCTGCCCCAGGGTAGGCTCAGGCACAAGCAAGTTCATGCTGGAGTCATAAAAAGAAGTAAGCGCCTGACTCTAGAAGGGCGTGTCAGAAGTCTGGACCAGATCAAGGCTGGAAACGCCTGTATTCCAAGGACTTGGTCTGCACACAGCTGTAGAGCCTGAGCTCTACCTGAGGCATTTGTTTCAAGCATTTGCACAGATAACGGCTGTCCAAAGCTGTTTGTGGAGTTGGTCAGAACCTCTCTCTGTATGATAGTTTGGATTATTGCTCAGCAAATATTTACCCTCCTACCACTTCCACTGTAGGTGAAATATATTTTCTTACCCAAGTGAGGTTAGGTTTGGCCATGTGAGTTGTTTTGGTGAACAAAATGTTAACATGTGTGATGCCTTCAGAAGCCTTCAATGTGCTGGCATGATTTCTTTGGCTCTTGTGTTTTGGTGATGTGCCAGGAGAAGAACATGCCCCAGGTAGATGTTGGTCCAGGAGAATGAGAGACATGTAGAGCAGAATTGGGCCCGACTTGAAGTCTGAGGCCAAGTTTAGCCAGGCCCAGCGAAGATCAGCCAACGCTTAGCTGACACGCAGGCCTGTGAGCAAGGAATGGGCTGGTTTATTATACTGCTTTATCCTAGCTGACTTGTGCGCTTTGTAAAAGAACTAAACAACCTGCAGTATTGACTATTCATTGAATACGACCTTGGAGGGGGTGATGGCCTAAGAACTCCTCTCCCCATTTTACAGCTGTGGAGACTGAGGCCTAGAGAGGGATATACGGCATGGTGAAGTCAGATGTGGTTCTGTCACTTACTAGCTGTGTGATCCTGACCAAACTGAATGAAGTCTTTAGCTTAGTTTCCAAATTTCTCAAATGGGAATGCTCATACTTACAAAAGAGACAATTTGTGTAACATGCCAAGCACAGGGTCTGTGGTTAATGCATCTGCCTTGTCTGTCAGTGGCAGTTCTCGTAGGAAGTGGTAGAGTTGGCACTAGTCCCTGGATCCTCCTACCCTCCCTCCAGGGGCAGGCAGAGAAGCCTCCAGTCTGCATAGACTCTACCACCTGCATCTGTATTTAACTTCATCTTCTCTTGACTCCTGGGAATTCCCAGAATACCTTTTTCTCCCACCATCTCCCTCAAGTGGAAGTAACTCTTTTTTTTTTTTCCAGAAAAGTGTAAAAACAATATAGGACACGTTCATGGCAAAAACACACATCAGCTCTTTAAGGAGCTGCCTTTGAACCCACCCATTCCAATGGGCGTGCACTTGACCTTCAAGTGATACTACCAGGATGGGCCTTTGATCTCTGACTGTACTGGCCACTGGCTCCCCAGACACATGATCTCAGGTTGGACAGGGAGCCCAGATTCCATCTCAGACTCCAGAAAAGAAGGTTGCCCCCTCCGGATCAAAATGCAAAGGGCCGTGTCCTGTTGTGTTTGCTTTTGCCCCTTCCCAGCTGTCACCAGAATCAGGCCTGGTTTGTCCAATCACACTCTCACACCAGGGCTGGGCGTGGCCAAGGACGTGGCTGTGAGGGAAGGCAGGGTTTGTGTTGTGTGGAAATACCATGTCCTGTGTAACTTCTGGGAACACTGATGAGCTTTTTCTTGGGGAAGGGGGATCCTGGAGATTGGGACATTCAGTTCCCACTTTTCCAAGGACCTGTAATGTGCTAAATATTTGCAACTCAGTTTACTGAGTATTAACCCAAAAATCTGTTGCCGTCGAGTTGATTCCGACTCATAGTGATGCTCTAGGACAGAGTAGAACTGCCCCATAGGGTTTCCAAGGAGCAGCTGGTGAATTCAAACTGCCGACCTTTTGGTTAGTAGTCTTAGCTCTTAACCACTGCATCACCAGGGCTCCACTGAGTATTAAGGGGGTCCCATATAGCATATAGCCTCTGGAGCCAAACTAGATTGCTGATTTTGAACCTGGCTCCACCATTTACCAGCTGTGTGGCATCGGGCAAGTTACTTAATCTCTCTGTGCCTTAGTTTCCTCGTCTGTAAGGCATGATAATACCTATCTCATAAGATTGCTTAGAGGATTAAGTGAGTTAATACACATAAATGACAGTGACATTTAATATTAGCTGGAAAGTCGAATGAAGCCCAAGGAAGTATAAAAGAGAAAGCGGCCATTTCAGCCCCTGCTCCATTTTCCCTCTCTCTTCAGGAGGCTGTGGCTGGTGTCGTGTGAAGGACACTGGCGTTAAAATCCAAAGGCCTGGGTTCAGTGCGTGGCTGGATTTCTTACTCGCCTGGAGAACTCTGGGATTTTATGTAAAACTCGAGCCTCAGTTTTGGCCTCTGTTAAATGAGTATGATGTCTCTGCTTGTTTGCTTCCTCAGGCTGTGGTGAGAAGCAAATGAGAGCCTACATTTCAAATGCTTCACACTACACGCGTGCATCACTGTGTTTGCTTTTTGCGTGTTGGCTTCCGTTTTTGGTTTTTGCCCCTAAGACGCATTTGCATCTCGCTTGTTTCCCTGCAGCCCAGGGTGGGGGTGGGGGAGCCCTGCTCCGTGTGCTCACTCAGGGATCCCGCCTTGTCCCTGATGCTCTCCACCCTCCCCACAGCCTCCAAGTCCCCGCCATCTTTGGGCTGCAGGAGAGAAGAGAACGAGACCCATGCACGGGCGGTCCACGGGCCAGGCCTGGAAGTGGCACACGCTGCCATAGCTCCCGTTCCATGGGCCACGACTCAGTCACATGGCCACGCCTCCACGGCAAGGGAGGCAGAAAATATAATCTAGCTGTGCGCCCAGGAGAGGAGGAGAACTGACTCACTTGTTTTGTAACCAGCCAAGAGGAAAGAGCCCTTGCTGCAACTTTTGATTGGACATAAGGGGCTGGACTATCCATTGTCAAGTTTATACTGGCTGCCAACGTGGCCTTTGGGAGGGGCAGGAAGCCCACACCTAGCGAGTGTGCCCTCCTCACCAGGCTCTCTGCCAGCCTTGCACAGCTCCCCTTCAGTCCTCTGGCTCCAGCCTACACCTAGGACCCGCCCTGTCTGCCCACGGCACAGCCAGTGCTCTCAGGGTATTAGAACGTGTGGACGGACGGAGGACATGACACGGACCCAGGTCACAGGTGCACAGGGGATGGTCTGCTTTGCCTCAGCTCAGCTGTCCTGCAGGGTGGGCTCCCCATGCCCAGCTCCTGGCCTACCGCTGACCACGGTGAGGATGGCAGTGAACAGGCAAGAAGACGAAGGAGACAGAAACACTAACCTTGAGGGCTGACCTTCTTAGCAGCCTCATCTAAGGACTCATGGCTTCCTCAGGTGATCACACCAGGAAAGAGCTCTCTCCCGAGAGAGAAGCCTCCTGTGCCAACACTGACATCCACACTGTGTCTCAGGTACTGGTCTAAGTACGTCTATCTATTAACTGAATTAATCTCATAGCAACCTTATAAACCTGGTACTATTACTGTCCCCATATATAGTAGGCAGAATAATGGCCCACCTAAGATGTCACGTCTTAATCACTGGGACCTGTGAATATGTTGCCTCCCATGGTAAAAGGGATTTTGCAGATATGACTAAGTTAAGGATTTTGAGATGGAGAAATTGTCCTGGATTATCAGGGTGAACCTGATGTAATCACGTGGGTCCTTAAAAGAGGACAAAGGAGGCAGGAGAAAGAGAGAGAGAGACTTGAAGAGGCTATGATGCTAGTTTTGAAGAAGGAGGAAGGGGCCAGAAGCCAAGGAATGCAGGCAGCCTTAGAAGCTGGCAAAGGCAAGGAAACAGATTCTCCACTAGAGCCTCCAGAAGTAATGCAGCCCTGCTGATGCCTGGATTTTAGCCCCTAAAACTCATTTTGGATTTCTAACCTCCATAACTATAAGATAATGAATTTAAGTTACTAAGTTTGTGGTAAATTTTTACAGAAGTAATAGGAAATGAATACATCATATCATAGATAGGAAAACAGAGGCACCAAGGGTTCAAACAATCTGCCCAAGGTTACACAGCAGGTAAGAGTCTGGAGCAGGGTTTGAACCCAGGCAGCTAGTGCCCCTAACCACAATGCCGGGCTCCCTCTCACAGGCTGCCCTAAGGGGTAGGGTTAAATCTCCACTATTACAGATTATATGGCCCTGGGCAAGTTGCTTGAGTCCTCTTAGTCTCGGTCTCCTCATGTGTAAAAATGAGCCAATGAAGCCTCCTGGAAGGCTGTTGTGGGGCTTAGAGATAATAAAAGTTCCAACTAATATTTGTGGACTGTTTTCGCTGGGCCAGACCATGAGCTAAGTCAACTCAGAGCCTCCCACTCTACTCCCACACCCACCTCAGGAAGACGTGGCCCAGCCCCTCTTTGGTCCTAGATGGGCTGCAGCTCTTCTTCAAGCTTCTTCTTCCGAACTCCTTCCACGAAGAAGAAGTCCATGTGTGTGAGCGTTTTCCCCAGAGGGGTGTCCATCCTGCTGCCAACAACCTGGTTTGTGGAGTTAGGGACTGTGTCTGAGAAGAGAGGCACGTGCTCCGGCAACGTCGGGTGCTCCTTCTTATTGCCCTGAGGAGGACAGTTTCCATCACACACGGCATGGAAAAGAGAAGAGCGCCTGTACACCACCTGTGGGCTCGTTAGGAGTGAGGAACACAAAGCAGAGTGTAGACTTCCTCTTTGTGTAACATGTTCTCCGACTGCTTCCAACCCAGTTTCGGTCTGTGACCCCCAGAAGAGTGACATGATTCCCAGGCCTTTGTCTGACTTTCCCCTTTACATCCCTGGGTCCCCCTCACTTCAGAACCTTCTCATACCCACTGACTTTTACCCTGTGATCTCCAATGATCTAGTTACTTGTTGGCCTCCCTCAGAGACCATGACCCCTGATGGACCACGTCTTATTCCTCCATCTATCCCCACGACCTAAGACACTGCTTCACATCTGGGCGGAGCTCTGTAAGGTTTTTTTTTTCTGTTAGTAAATTTTTACTTGAAGTCTGACATACATGGAGAAAAGTACACAAATCACGACTGTACATCACAATACATTTTCACAAAGTGAGCATGTTGTGTAACCATCACCTATATTGAGAAATATAATACGCTCAGCACCCTTGGAACCCTCTCTACCCCCAAGGCCACCTCATCTTGACTCCAACACCATGGGTTAGTTTTGCCTGTTTTTGAAGTTTCTATGAATGGAGTCACATCCTTTCTGCCTGGCTTCTTTCTCTCAGAAATACGTTTGTGAGACTCATCCAGTTGTTGTGTGGGGTTGCAGTTCACTCATTCTCATTGCTGTACGTTATGTGAATTGCGTGAATATTTCACTAGCTACTTATTCATTCTGCCAGTTTTTGGCGATTTGAGTAGCGCTGCTCTGAGCGTTCGTGTATATGCCTTTTGATGTGCGGCGAGTGAGTTTGGGTAACAACAATTATAACTGATAGATGAGTGAATGTGTATGCATTAAGAATAATCTCATCAGTGGGGAAAATTCTTCATCTGTCCCTGCCCCTATTTATGGTTAACTTTGTCTACGCTGTGTCATGTGGCATGACCATGGTCAGGTAATGAGATCCTGGCTTTCACCTGGGAAAATCCATGTTGAAGTAGCACTATTGTTTGGGTGGGATGCAGGTTTCAGTAGTCATATTGCTAGTGGGTAAGCCCTTGGCAGGGAGAGACTGCTTTAGGCTAGAAGCGGGGACCAGGAGCTCAGTGTAGGATTTCAGGCCCCAGGAACTGCATTTTCTGTCTCAGGTCAGACAGCAGCAAGCCTAGCAAGTCCATCAAGGCCGGCATTGAACCTCTTCCAAAGTTCACAAGTTTCGGGTCAGTGTGGCCACCTTCTTGGTTGACTTTCTACAAAGTTCATTTCCCGGGTTGGTTCTTTGATCATTCTTTTCACAGCTAGATTCACTCCCCATTCATTCGTTCATACAACACGAACAGAGTGCTAGATGTTGTATTGGGTGCTGAGGGTGGGGCACAGCGATGAATCCATCTTTGTTCTTTCTCTTAAGGACCTCACAGTCTAGTGGAATTGATCATTGCAATATTATATAAGTACATGCTACAATAAAAGAATAGATGAGATATGATGGTGGCTCAAAGAAAGGTGTGATCTGATCAAACCTGCTTGGGAAGGTGAGATTTCCTTGAATAGGGTCTTGAAGGATGAATAAGAGTTCATCAAGCTGACAAGGTAGGAAGGGCATTTCCAGCCGTGGAACAGCAGGCACAAAGGCATGGATAAAAGAAAGAGCACTGGTCAGTGTGAGGGAATGGTGAGCAAAGAGGCTAGAGAGGTAGGCAGGGTCAGATCACAGGAAGCATTGTAAGCCATGTTGAAAAATTCAGATTTTTATGTGAGGAGCTATTTATTGAAAGATTTTAATCAGAGGAGTGATATGGTCAGTTTTGCCGTTTAGGAAAATTACCCTGGTAGCAACGTGGAGGATGGATTGGAGTTGATGATATTAGCGGCAGGGAATTAGTTCACAAAGTATTGTTACCCAAACTCATCCTCCATTGTGGGCACACCACACACACACATCAGTATAACTAGCTGATACCCTTGTATGGGGGAACTATTTTCAACAGCAGATGCCTGTCATGTCATGTCTTAATAAAATCAAGAAGCACCGGGAAAAAATAACTTCTTAATGCTCTATATGAATATTTTCTTCTCCACTAGACCCTGAGTTTCTTGAAATGGGACTGTATTTTATTTATCTCTGTACATCCCAGCATCTAGCACAGAGTAGATCCTCAATAAATGTTACATGAATGACTGAAAGAATGAATAAATATTCAGAATGCAAGTATAGCTGCCTGGAACATGTTTTGCCTTACCATCGGATCATAGTCTTTCAGGAAACTCCAATTGTGAGCCCTGAAAAGGAAAAACACGTTGGTAGCGTGAGTTCTGTATGTGACATTTTTCTAAATGACGTTCACTGTGTCAGGTAAATAAGTTGATGCTGCTCACAGATTACATCATGTTTTTGTGGTTATTAGTTGCTATCAAATCGACTGCTACTCATGATGACCTCATATGTGCAGAGTAGAACTGCTCTGTAGGGTTTTCAAGGCTGTGACCTTTTGGAAGCAGATTGCCAAACCTATCTTCTGAAGAGCTTCTGGGTGGATTCGAACCGCCAACCTTTCAGCTAATAGTCAAGTGCTTAACTCTTTGTGCCACTCCTATTATATCACAGGGAAAGTGAAAGAATTTTTAAGTGAAACAGATGCCAAGTTTCAACCAGGTATTCATCACATGGTGTTCCCATAAAATAGACAAGGATTTCACTAATCCAGGACTTTTTCTGGAGCGGTAACTATGATGCTAGGCGGGTAGAGCAGACTGTGTAAGGAAGCCAGCAGGTACACCATCGCAATGGGCCTCTATGCATTTTAAGTAGCATCTTCAACTGTTTTGTGAAGAAGAACTAGTTGTCACTTCCCCAATCTTTAGAACCGCTCAGTGTGTGTGACAGAGGAAGTGGGGGGAGGGGGTAAGAAGAAAGGAAGGTGACTATGAGAACATTACCTGTATCGGTAGTTTAATTGTTATTCAAATAAATGTGTTTTAAGTCAAGCAATTCTACAAGGTTTATAAGGAACACAGTCATCGTTTGCTCCAAATCCTAAGAGCCTCCCAAGTCCCACATCTGAGAGTCCAATGATTTCCAGGCTTTTAGCTGTTTCTTCAGGTCTTTCATCTCTGTGTTTTGAAATAGTCTACCCGCGCTGCCATTTTTTGATTTTTTTAAATTTAAACTTACCTATTGACTTTCTATTATGGGACGTGATGAGTTAGCATTCTTACCCCTTCCCCTCTCCTCATTCTTTCAAAAGAATTGCATTATAGATTTTGGTTAAATCAATATTTTTTGTTTATATAAAATTATAACTATGTAAATACTGTTCACTGTAATATATGACCCCAGTTTATTTCTTATAAACTTCGTATTTTTTCCTAGAGTTGAGCATTACATTTCCCTCCAGTTTTCTTAGGTTTCTATGTATCAATCTTTGATTGCAAACTCTCCAAAAAAAGCGTAAAGCCCTGCCTTAGCTATCTAGTGCTGCTGTAATAGAAATACCACAAGTGGGTGGCTTTAACAAAGAAAAATTTATTCTCTCACAGTCTAGGAGGCTAGAAGTCCAAATTCAGGGTGCCAGGTCCAGGGAACACTCTGTCTGTTGGCTCTGGGGGAAAGCCCCTGTCATCAATATTCCCCGGTAGAGGAACTTCTCAGCGCAGAGACCCCTAGTCCAAAGGACACGCTCCCCACCCCTCCTCCGCGCTGGTTTTTCATTCTTGGTGGCATGAGGCCCCCTGTCTCTCTGCTTGCTTCTCTCTTTTATATCTCAAGAGAGATGGACTTGAGATCAACCTAATCTTGTAGTTTGAGTCCCGCCTCATTAACATAACTGCCTCTAATACTGCCTCATTAACATCATAGGGGCAGGATTTACAACACACAGGAAAATCACATCAGATGACAAATTGCTGAACAAGCATACAATACTGGGAATCATGGCCTAGCCAAATCGACAGATATTTTGGGGGGACACAATTCAGTCCATGATACTGATTAATCTGTTTCACCATATTAAATATACCACTGAAGAAGGTCTTAACAGGGACTGTTTTTCTTTGTTAGAATTCTCTTCCTTCTACCTTTTCTTCTCCAAAAGTTTTAAGCTAGATTTAACTATTTTCATTATAATTTTTGTTGTGGAATGACAGCAAGGACATTATACAAGAAGAAAGCAAAAGGTCATTAAAAAGAAAGAAAATACCAAAATGGATGTCAGAAGAGACTGATAATTGCTCTTGAACATAGAGTAGTTAAAGCGAAAGGGAGAAATGATGAAGTAAAAGAGCAGAACAGAAGATTCCAAAGGGTGGCTCAAGAAGACAAAGTAAAGTATTATAATGACATATGCAAAGACCTGGAGATAGAAAACCAAAAGGGAAGAAGAGTCTGGGCATTTCTCAAGCTGAAAGAACTGAAGAAAAAATTCAAGCCTCGAGTTGCAGTATTGAAGGATTCTACGACAAAGGAAGCATCAAAAGAAGATGGAAGGAATACACAGAGTCACTATACCAAGAAGAATTGGTTGACATTCAACCATTTCAGGTAGCATATGATCAGGAACTGATGGTACTGAAGGAAGAAGTTAAAGCTGCACTGAAGGCATTGGTGAAAAACAAGGCTCCAGGAATTGACAGAACACCAATTAAGATGTTTCAACAAACAGAGAGATGCAGCGCTGGAAGTGCTCACTCATCTCTGCTAAAAAATTTGGAAGAGAGCTACCTGACCAACTGACTGGAAGAGATCCATATTTATGCCTATTCCCAAGAAAGGTGATCCAGCAGATTGCGGAAAGTATCAAACAATATCATTAATATTACACGCAAGTAAAAGTTTGCTGACAATCCTTCGAAAACAGTTGCAGCAGTACATTGACAGGGAACTGCCAGAAATTCAAGCCAGATTCAGAAGAGGACCTAGAGCCAGGGATATTATTGCTGATTTCAGACGGATCCTGGCTGAAAGCAGAGAATACCAGAAAGATGTTTACCTGTGTTTTATTGACTGTGCAAAGGCATTCGACTGTGTGGATCATAATGAATTATGGATACCACGTTGCAGAATGGGAATCCTGGAACACTTAATTCTGCTCATGAGGAGCCTGTACATAGATCAAGAGGCAGTCGTTCAAACAGAACAAGGGGCTACTGCTTGGTTTAAAATCAGGAAAGGTGTGTGTCAGGGTTGTATCCTTTCACCATACCTATTTCGTCTGTATCCTGAGCAAATAATCTGAGAAGCTGGACTATAAGAAGAATGGGGCATCAGAATTGGAGGAAGACTCATTAACAACCTGTGATATGCAGATGACACAACCATGCTTGCTGAAAGTGAAGAGGACTTGAAGCACTTACTGATGAAGATCAAAG